GCGGAGGTTTGGGTGTAGTTGTATCATCTGGGGAGACAGAAGAAATGGTCAGAGATGAGACTGAAGGCAGGTAAGTAGTGCAGCAACATCATAAAGAATGCAGGATTTGTCCTTAGGTGTCCAGGGTGTCATGAAAGGGAATGACTTTGTGTTTTAAAGGTCCAGCAGCTGGTGAGAAGAAGTATGGATACAAGGGCCCATGCTAGAAGTAGGGAAACCTGAGAGAAATAGGGCTTGAACATGAGCTTTGGTAGTTTGAGATGGAGAGGAGGGTGGACCTAAGAAATATCCAGCAGATAAACCCAGCAGGGATTGGTGGCTAATTGGATGTGAGGAGATTGGTGCGTAGGAGCAGTCAGCAGCAACAGTCTAGTTTGCATCTGGGGTGACCAGGTGGATGGCTGTGCCCCAAATGAGAAAGGAATACAAGGACAGTATTGTGTGGTGGTGTGGGAGATAATTAGTTCCTTGTTTGGGTGGGATGCTGTGAAGGCATCTTCAGAAATCCAGGTGAACAAGTTCAACAGGAGTGGACACAAAGTTCAGGAGGAAGAGAGTGGCCAGGACTGGACTGTAGAAAGAGACCTGGAAGTCAGGAGCAGAGGTGACTCCGTGTTTGAAAACAAGAGCATGAGGAAGCCACCCATGGAGAATACACAGATTGGGAAGATCCAGGGTGGCAATGTCTGAGGCAGAGCTACCAAAACCTTGAACTACTGATCTTCTCAGCCCTCAGGGCACCCAGCTGGACCCTGAAACACTCTTGCTTGCATCCCCAGTGACTGCTTGCTGAACAGCCCTCAGTCCATCCCCAGTGTTTATTCCATTGTCTTTGTGTGCCCTGACATGAAAAGTATTGGGGAGCAGTGGTAAGGGTGGGGGCAGAAAGGGGAGCCCATGAAAGCAATGGGTCAGAGAAATAGTAGAATCACAGGTGAGTTTGCCATTTCAGAATCCCAGCAAAGTGAATTTTGAAGAAAGCAGAAGTGCAGTGTAAAGAGAATGGAAATGCACCCATTGAGTTTGGAAACAAACTAGGCATTGTTTCCTTTAGGGGAGTAGTGTCAGTGTAGTTGTGGGGATGGAGCCAGTCTGTGAAGTCTTCAGGGGGAAATTGAAGGTGAGAAGGCATTTCAAGGATAATTTATTACCATGGAATGCTAAGGGAAGAGAGAGGCTGGTTGGAAGTTTGGGTGGAATGTGGAAACAAGGTGTTTTGATTTAGTCTGGAAAAACTGCAAATGGGTTTATACTCAGAATGGAAGACTCAGTAGTGTGTCTGTTGTGGGGGATGGATGTTGGGGAGGAAAGGCCTGACTGATGGAGTGGGTGCAGGGAGCTGGGAGTGCACTGGGTCTAGGGCAGCACTGTGTTGGCATTAAACAGGGGAAAGAGGTATGTGGGGTGGTGTACCCCTGTGAAAGAGTGGGGTGGGCTGTCGATGGGCATATAGTCTGGTGCTCTCAGCTTTCTTGATGAGGTAGGAGGTGAGGTGGCACTAGAGAGCTGTGTGAAGGGGACAGTTGAAGGATTAGAATGACTGCTGAAGGGAGTGGGAGAAGATGGTGAACCGGGACGTGCCATGGGTTATACAATATGAGGTAGGGGCCCCAGTCATGGCTGGGACCTTGGGTGGGTTGTTGTTGTTGTTGTTATGTGTGTTGAGTCAGACCTGACTCATAGCGACCCCTCCTTGGGTTTCCGAGGTGGTATCACTATGGAAGTAGATTGTCCAACCTTCCTTCCGAGGAGTGGCTGGTGAGTTTGAACAGCCAGCCTTCTGGTTAGCAGTCAAGTCCCTTAGGCACTATGCCACCAGAGCTTCCAGCAGCTCTCACCTCCCAGATGTGGGAGGCTGACTGGGACTCTGCCCTTGCCTTGGGTGGTTGCAGGTTGGGTGACTCAGGCCCTTGGG